CCCAATACATTGCAATATGCCTGAGAAATTCTGTACATGTTAACATAGCTACTGTGAATCAATCTTGGATCAGGTTGCTTCTTTTAAATCTAATTTGGTGACAAAAATGACGACATGTATGGATTACTGACTGTATTCAGAATATAAGGAGACTTTGTCAGTAAACTCAACTTCTGTATAATTCTACCAAACATGAGGTCCGTAGATTGCAGGGAACTCAAATAACTCTGTGATAAAAGTGATAAAAGATATCAGATCTGACTACTGCTATCAGTTAGTTATCTTAAGAAAATGAAAACTCTGGAATGGCCTCCCAGAGTCCCTTAGGGTCCCACAGAGTGTGGAGGCGTTCAAGAAAGGCCTCAAGACATTTTTATTTAAAATGGCCTTTGAACATTAGTTAGTACTTTATCTGTGTGGTTTTATGGTTATTTTACTGTTTTGTTTTTACTACGTATGTTATTTTATTGTAATGTCTCGTTTTAACTATGTATGCTGTTTTTATTGTACGGTTTTGTTTTAACTATGAATTTTGTAGCACTTTGAGATTTTGTTGAAATGTAAAGTGCAATACAAATAAAATGTATTATTATTATTTATTTATTAAAACAGGTGTGAGTGGCACAGTGATGGTAACCACCATCGCCTCACAGCAAGAGGGTTCTGGGTTCGAGTCCAGGGGGAACCAGGATCTTTCTGTGTAGAGTTTGTGTGTTCTCCTTGTTTCTCCCTGTATCTGTGTGAATTTTCTCTGGATCCTCTGGCTTCCACCCACAGTCCAAAAACCTGTATTTTAGGTTGCTTTGATGTTCCATATTGCCCTGAGGAGTGAATGTGAGTGTGCGTGGTTGTTCGTCTCTGCGTGTCTTTGTGTGGCCCTGCAATGGACTGGCTGACCCTCCAGGGTGTACCCCGCCTCTTGCCCATTGACCACTGGGATAGGCTCGAGGTACTCCCGTGACCTCATTAGGGAATAAGCGGTTATAATAACGTATGGAAAAACAGGTGCTTTTTGTTTGTGCTGCTACGCCTCTAGAATCTGCTTTTCGCAAATTAGACAGCAATACATTTTTTAAGCCTTTCATTCAGACAAATAAAGGGAAAATGGACATATCTCTTTCTAGCAAAGATTTTGTGTAACCACTTCTATAAAAAAGAAATTTACTTAGACCCAGCTGATCTGAAAGGATGAGGATATTCACTGTTGTCCAAAACTTTTTACATTTTATGAAGATTTCTTCTTTGTGAAACCATCTCCAGAGGTTCCACAGGAATTCCTGGAACAGCCTAGGTGATCTGAGCTTGTCTGTTTAATCAAGCCTTAGAAACCTTGGGATTATTTTTGACAATGTAATGTTATTAAAGCATATTTCAAATCAACTGATAAGCAGCTGTTTTTAAATCTCTAAGTTAATAACATTCTTTTTTTTTTCAAGCTAATTGTCCATGCATTTTTATCTTCTTGTTTAGACTACACTCCAAACCTTCAAGTTTTGACTATCTCTTCACTGATGACTGCTTGATAAAGCTCAGAATGCACCTAAGTGGATTGCTCTAGCATATTCTTACAATAGAACCACCCAATGAAGGCCAGCTGTAGATAAATATGTGTCAGTGTTGAACTTTTTAATTTGGTAAATGTATAAAAGCTATCCATGAAATTTCCTGGGAACACAGGTTCTCCTCATCAGAGGACATTGTTTTGACAGTTCCTTACCAATGTCAGAAACAACATGATGATACAAAATGCTAAACAAAGTACGACACAATAAAAGGCATGTAGGCCTTAAGGCGACATCCTGAAATTAGGAAACACCCACACAGAGAGGAGGAGTTCCAGTGAAGGCAAACATCTTTCTTCCATGTGGGTCCAAATAGCACTAGAAAACAACAATTTATGTTATATTAAATGAAAACTCCAGTTCCAAAGACAATATTTCATCATATGTGTAGTTGATCTGTAGTTGACCTTGAAAGACTAAAAGAAGAAGATCCGGAACATTCAATGCTAAATTGAAATACAATAATGTAAAACGTGATCTAACTTCTTTTTTTTTAAATGTACAACCACTTATTTCACTGAGAATTATTATTATTTTTTTTTATTCGGTGACAAAGATGTAATAAATTGTCCCTCTTTTACAGCCAAAGACATTTTAAACATTCAAAATTATATTAAATTCTGTTTTAGTCAGTCTGTTTCAGTGAAATTGATCTAAAAATCATTCTCACCTAAAAAGGGTATCTTAAAAAATTTCTGTCAAACCAGTGTACATGGCAGTGAAAGACTGAAACAAAATGTGAAATCAACTTTTAATGAACATCATTCCTGTAAGGAAAATAACATCCTTAAGTGTAAGATGACATCAAGGTCTATGTGGCTATAAAACTGGGGAACATTTCTTTTCTGGTAGAGCTGCTGAACTGTATCTGTGAAATTAAAACCTGGTTTTAATGTGTTTTGATCCGTCATCAGACTCGAAAGCATGTTCAACAATAGTCTTCCATTTAGACCACTGTTATGGTTTTAGTCATGCAGCAGGACATATTTTACCCGGCACTGAACAGAGTGAACATAATACTCTAACCCTGTTGTCTTCGCTTTCAACTCTTGTTCGCATTTTAAATATTACATTGTAAAGCCTGAAATGATCTTTCCCTTAATGATCTTCCATACTATAACATTGACTGAAACACTCTGGTAGACACTATTCAACAAAATATAACTTCTCTTTGACTGTGTTGTCAGTGCATATGTTTTTTACAGAATGCAGCAGTAAAAACAGCAGGGCTTGAGCTGGAAAGAAATTTAACAGCAAAATTATTGTTATTATATTTTGGACATATGGATTTGTGTTAGAGTGACCAATGGCGCCCCAGAGGAAATATTTACTCCTCAAAGCTTGCTCTTCTATAGCTCATGAGACATATTTGAGTTCATATTTTCTCTGAAATGTTTCTTCTAACATTCACTTGGAGAAATAAGGTGAGACATTAACATTACAGTACGGGAGTCAAGGTTGAGATTTATAGAAGATATCTTGCAAAATTAAAAATTTACATATTCACCTGTTCACACACATACAAACTTTACATTATGGCAAACCACATTGTAGCCACAGCTTCCCTGGAGCTCATTGACCACCATCAGTTCTCTTCACATACAGTTTAAGTCATTTGCCCAAGGACACGTCATTGAATGCTGCAGCCGGAGCTTGAGCCCACAACCCTCTGGTTGCAGGGCAAACTCCTGCAATTGTCACCCAACAAAGCAATAGTGAAAGAAAAATCCAGACATGTTAACCGATTGAGTGCCTTCACTTTGGTCGTCAAATTCATCATAAAAATTGACATCTGTATCTCTTTGTAGCTAGGAATTTAGAATGCATTACTTTTCTTTATGACAGGAAAAACATTCAAATCTCTTTTGCCTTATAATCCGTTGTTATGGTTGCACCTAAGTATTTTACTTCTTGGAATCCCATATAAGGTGCTTCATTGTTAATCGTGTATTGAGATTAACTCACATTTTTATAAATGTAAGTATATTCTAGAGGCTCTAGAAAACCTTTTAATCTACTTTATAACAATGAAAATTGAAAGTTGTACCATCTTGACCAGGTGATTTACCTAATGACTTTTGTTTTACAGCAACATCTAAGTCTTGTATTTCAGAGTCCCATAACATTTTGAATGTGGAGTCAGTTTTTAGAATGTTGGTTTAAATGCTTTCCAAAAAGGATACTGAAGCTTTGATGTGAGTAGACTGAGTTCATAGAGAGAGCTCTCTGATTTCTTTACTTTGGATCACAGGGAGAAACAAAAGTTGAGAAAGTCTGAGAATTATATTTGAACATGTTTAGATATTTTCTGAAACTTGAATGGAAAGGCATCGGCCCCGTCGCCACCCTGACAGAATAAGCGGGAGAAAAAGGATGGATTGATGTCTAGGAGAAGTACCTTAACAATTTTGGAGAACTTATTACAGGTTTTCCTTTCCTCCGGGGCTGTAATTTAATCCTTATATCTATTTAAAACACACAACTTTAAATTATGTATTTATCATTAAGTATGGGGAAGTCAGCATTATGCTGTGGGGATGTTGGATGAAAGAGGGAATCATGCAGTCAAAGAGAAAAATACTATTGTGTCAAACATAAAGTGAAATACCAGATTAGAGTTTGCATATTGGGACAAAGGGCTTTGTTTAGGAGATATTCTATGGAGGAAAGAATGAAATGTGTGGCCTAGGGGCCATTGTTATAAAATGGTTCCTTTGAAATGCAGGGATTATAGTCATGTACTTTGCTGTAGGAGGGACTGGTGTAATAAAAAATATTTGTATTAGAAGGACAGAGCAATGATTGTAACTATTGAAATGTCACAAATAGGTCTTTTAACTGGATAATGACTCTACATGTGCATCCAAAACAGTTACAAAGTGGCAAACTGAAAAATGTTAGTTATCTTAGTGCACTGAAATGTGGATAAAGTTTAGCTTAATTTTATGTCTGCCTATGAAAAAAATGGATTACCTGTTTTTCTTGTTCACTGTAGCATATCTAAATAACTGATTTAGGCTGCATGTTGTTATGGGCTTCCATTGCTTGCATTAGTTAGAACCACAACAATTATTGATTCCTGTGGGTTTTTCAATCTCAGACTAGAGCAAGCCGGGTAAATTGTGATGTCACTCCCAGATCAAATTACCAATAACTCCAGTACACAGTATTACAGAAATCTACAGTCCAAGAAATGTTATTATAAATAGATAATGAGTGACTCTGGACTTTTTCTCCATGCTGTACATAGCTGGCTAAGTAAGCACAGTTTATTTCATAAAAATCTCCTTCAGGCTGTTAGTATGCAGTATGGCCAACAGTGCACCGATCTGTCAGAAAAGAAAACAGCATAAGAGAATTGCTGTATGTTAATTGTGCATTCACCAAACACTTTGAGGAAAAACAATCTAACAAGTGTTTTTGGCTTTTTCTTATCAGGTTTTACTGGGATCTATTAATGCTACTCTTGATGATGGGCAATCTAATCATCCTGCCTGTCGGCATCACATTCTTTAGAGATGAGAACACGGCTTCATGGATCATCTTCAACGTAGTCTCTGACACTCTCTTCATGGTCGATCTGGTTCTGAATTTTAGGACCGGCATTATGAAGGAAGACAGCACAGAAATACTCCTTGATCCAAGGTCAGTTGGTCACACAAGCGCATACTTTTCTTACAACTGAGGGTATCTGTTCAAGATACTTATATGCATGAGTAGAAAAGACGAATCATGATTGTTTCGTTCAGGTTTTACTTTATTGTTGATGAATACTAAACCATTTTCTGTGCAGAGGAAACACCAGAGTCACTTTCACAATTGTACCCTGACAAATAAGACCCGTGTCTCCTCTTGTATATTCTTTTAACTTAGGGCAATCCGTCAGAAATATTTGAAGACCTGGTTTCTCGTTGACTTTGTGTCATCTATTCCTGTGGACTATATCTTCCTGATGGTGGACAGTCTGGACTCTGAAGTCTACCGGACGGCTCGGGCACTGCGTATAGTCCGCTTCACCAAAATCCTTAGCCTGCTTCGGCTGCTTCGTCTCTCCAGACTCATCCGCTACATCCACCAGTGGGAGGAGGTGAGTGGCAAACCAGATACAGAGGATGCTTTAGGCACTTGTTATGACAGCTTATTCTAACAAATATGACAGTAAACAAAACAAAAAAAACAAACAAACAAAAAAAACAGGTTAACTATATCTTGGTTATTATTTGACAAAATGTTAAAGATGCCATGCTTATTCAACCCTGTTCTTCATTTTGCTCTAAGATCTTCCACATGACCTATGACCTTGCCAGTGCCATGGTGAGGATTGTAAACCTGATTGGTATGATGCTGCTTCTGTGCCACTGGGATGGCTGTCTCCAGTTTCTGGTCCCAATGCTTCAGGACTTCCCCTCTGACTGCTGGGTGTCCAAAAACTTGATGGTGGTGAGTCTCCACCTCGGTCTCATGCTTCACAGATCTAATTTCCTGGTAAACATCAGAGGAGGCCCAAACTGATCAAATAACAAAAAACAGCAGTGCCTGATTTTTTAGCCACAAGCTCAAATTACCAATATTAGGATACTAAGTGACAGATCAATACACTGTAGTACACATTTGCTAATAATGAAAAAAAATATTGCTTAAAACATTTCTGCAAATAAAACCTAACAATAAAGGCTATTCGTATAAATTCAATACTTTGCTGTAACAGCAGCTGCAGTGGTTTTGGGGTATTTCTTTACCAACTTTGTGCATTTATAGACAGAAATGGATTCTAAATGGTTCCATCTGAGACAGATTTGATGAGGAAAATTTTTTAAACCACCACTTTGCAGTCTGGAACATGATTTTAATGTAATTTATGCAGTTCCACTACAGCTCTGGTTGTACTGTATATTTAGGGTTTAGTCAGCAGAAAGGAAAACTCTGCCCCACTCTCTTCATATTTGAAGCCTCTGTCTGATTTTATTTTTCAGTGATTATCTCTGTTAGGTCCAGTTCCCTATAATTACTGAAAAGGATGTATCCCTACAGTATGAAGCTATCTCCACCACTTGTTGTTTTCATGATGGAGATGAAAGCAGAGTCATATGCAGTTCTTATGTAATCTTACAATATCTTGTGGACTGTATTCGTAACTTCATACAGGTCACTGCTTTCCTTTCTTGTCACTCTTGCAGAGTGCACAACTTATCCAGTCTACAGATTTGAGTTATAAGAATCAGAATCAAGTTTATTGCCAAGTAGGTTTGCACTTACAAGGAATTTGACTCGGTGTATATTGTGCAGACAAAATAAATTTATATACATAATACAGAACCTTTAGCTACAAACAGTATAAAACATACAATGTACTATATGTAGCTTCTAAGTTCTGAAGGGGGAGGGAGAGAGGCAGTGTCCGTGTCATGGTGGTTTCTGGGCCTTGTTTATAAGGCTGGTAGCAGATGGGAAGAAGCTGTTCTTGTGGCGTGAGGTTTTGGTCCTGATGGACCACAGCCTGCTGGCAGAGGGAAGTGACTGTTTGTGGCGGGGGTGCGAGGGATCAGCCACAATCTTCCCTGCACGCCTCAGAGTCCTGGAGGTGTACAAATCCTGGAGAGATGGAAGATTGCAGCCATATACCTTCTCTGCAGACTGGATGACACGCTGCAGTCCGCCCTTGTCCTTGGCACCAGCGTACCAGATGGTGATGGAGCTTGATAATGCTCTGAGTTTTGGGACATGACCAATGTTTTGACATGTTTGTGGTTTTGTTGCATCGTATAAAAAGAGATAAATAAAATATATGACACTTTTTGGGGTTTTTTTTTTTTGGAAGAATGTTGAGAATTATGTGCCATTTAAATCAACTTTTATACCCTAATTTGTATGACATTAAATCTCAATTAAATGCACAGATGTATTCTTGGCTTTAATGTCACAAAATTTGGAAAATTTGACGCTGTATGCATTTGCACTGCCTCACAGCATGTTTGATCGGTGTGCACAATATTTGTTTCAGATGAAGGCAGAGTAGCTGATGCGTACACAGTGTGGCTGTTTATCAGATAGTTTCCTCTTTATCTCCCTTAATTGGCTCATGCAGCATCACATCCTGCTGAAATGAGATTGACTATAATCATCAGAAAGATTTTTAAAAAAGAAAAGAAAACAAGGAGGGCTGTTTAATTAAAAATCTCAGCAGAGATCAGGTAGATGTGCCAGTGCATACAAACATTGAAAAGCCACAGGCGATCGGGCCTTGCTGCAGTTGATTTTTGATTGTATGAACAGCTGACTCATGTCCCGGTGGTTGCCATGAGTAAAGGTTGGTAAGCAGACTGATTCTCTGGGATTCTCCCTCGAGAGAGGCACCGCATCCTATGGACTATTAACATCCATTTATAATTAGACTGAAACAGGAGGTGTGCACACACATTAGGGCGACTCTTTTTAGTCCGTTTTTTCTGTCTCTGTGGGTTACATGTCATGCAGCTGTTTCCTTTTCCCTCTTCGGTAATCAGAGAAGGGATTTGTTCCTTATTAGCTTCTTGCTGTTATGAGCCCAGTCAGGTTTTCAGAGGCTCTTCTGCATTGTAGCAAATCTGAGAAAGTTACACCATACAATCCTCTACAATAATGAACTTCTTGTTCTGTTTTTTGCCCCCTTTCCCCTTGCAGAACGATACATGGAGCATTCAGTACTCTTACGCTCTCTTCAAAGCCATGAGCCACATGTTGTGTATCGGGTATGGTGCCCAGGCTCCCGAGGGGATGACTGATGTGTGGCTCACCATGCTCAGCATGATCGTCGGCGCCACCTGCTATGCCATGTTTATCGGCCACGCCACCGCCCTCATACAGTCGCTGGACTCATCACGGCGACAGTATCAGGAGAAGGTGAACTATGATGGTTATTCACCTGCTGCTACACAACTGTTTAAATATTTATGGAAGAAATATGTGAGAAGATTTGCTTAATCTGTTTGTTTAAAACTGACCCTAAATTAAAGTTTTAGGCTGGTTTTTAGTTTACCCACCCTTAACCTTTGACCATAAGGATTTTAGTTGGTCACTTTTGTTTTAGAAAGCCAATAACATCGAAAATAAATAATTGTAGAAAAATCTTTACCAACAAAAAAAAACTGAGATTAAAACATCCACTGAGGCTGAGCATTTTTTTAGCTCTTCTCTTATTAAGGAGTTTTATTGTAAAAGGCTAATCCATCCTGTTTGTTTATATTGTAAGCCTATGAATATACTGTTAATTAGTGCATTTTCATAATATTTAGAGCTTTTTTCTAACATTTAGGGGCAAAACGCTAAATATTCATTTTAAATCTGTTTCAGCGTACATCAATATATACAACTCTTAAATCTGAATCATAATTCTAAACCTTGAATCAAAATGTTAGGATATCTGTAAATGTACATGCTAGATCTAAATGTATATCTTAATTCTAAATCTTGAATCAAAATTCAAATCTGATGTTTGAAATGTTAATCCATGATATTGTCACAAAGAAATGCCAGTGAGAAGAGGAGGTAGGCTGGGTCCTTCTACATGCCTCCTCTTATTATCTTTTTGTGCCAATATACTACGGGTGTGGCCCCAAGCTGAGCCATTAAATGAGCTTGGCTAATTAGTAAGATATATTTAAATTAAATATTCAGATATAAGCAAAGTTGAGAATGTTACTTTGAAAAGCAACCCCTAGTCAAAGTATCTATGTAGTTACTTATTATCTTAAATGACCAAGAAGTCATCATTCCTATTATCAGAACTTTAAATACAACTGGAAGTTCAATTATGAGATATGAAATATTTGTTATAAAGATATGAATTCATTAATTAACTATGTAGTTCTGTTAATTATGTATTCCTTTGACTAAATATCTTCAATTGGCTTTTTAAGCTGAAAAACTATGCTTTGCAAGCAATTTAACAAAAAAGTATTTACCTTGCAAAAGAATTAAACGAGGGTAACTCAATTTTAGAAATAAAAGGACAGTGTAATACAAATACTGCAGTGTGAAAATAAAATCTAAACCACAAATTCTGTTTAGCACTGAGAAAGTAAAGCGGATGTGTTGATTAGAGGCAGCCAGGTGTCAGTCTGTGTTGAGATGATGTGAGGAGCTTCTTTAGGTGTATATAAAACCTTTGTTCCTGTACAGAATGAGTAAATAACAGGAACATTTTGTCTTTGACTTCAGCAAGTGTTTTTTTTTCTCTAGGAACACTGTTGTTGGCTGGATCTGAATACCTCAAATGACTAGGAAAATTTAAGCCATTGCAGAATTGCAACTGCAGTAGTCATAAGTGCTATCTGAATAGTGCTTGCTGTAAGGTAGGAGCTAGGACCATGAAGCAGTGTGCTTTTAGCTATATAGTTAGTGTAGGGAGCTCCTGACATCATTAGCCACAGCTGGGAGTGGTTTGGCAAAGCCAAATTTAAAGAAAAATACATTACGGTATTTCTTGACGTGTCTGTGTGACACATACGGATACACACTTTCATGTGTTTGGGGTTTTATAATGGAGAACGTCAGCCATTGGCAACATTTGTGAAACTTCACTTTTTGTAGTCCTTTTCCAGAGGGCTGTAGTCCTATTTTGATCAGTGTCATACTGTACATGTGTGTCCTTAGTCTGTTAGGTGGAAGGCTGTCTGGATTCAGCATAGTAGTCAGGAGCTCTTTTCTTACACTGGATATAGTTCTAACTGTTCACCCGTGAAAGCTGAACAGTAGGAAGTACAATTTCGGGTATTATTATCAAGGCATTGATTACATTTTTCTGTGCTGTTGCCTCTTGTCATGCTACAGCTCCTCAACCAATCAGTGTTACATATGCCTCCATCTAAGCTCTGCTTCCCCCTACTTTGCCTGCAGTAAAAATCTCTCCCCACAGCAGAGAGAGTGCGCATATTAACTGCTGCTTTGATAGTTGTGGTAACGAGCTATATTGCATTGCAGTAACAGCATTGCCAAAATTTGAAAACTCATTAGTTTGACTATTTTTTTTTATGAAAAACATTTTTAATAACTCCATTATTATGTCAAACCGTTACTACCAACACTGAATATAAGATAATTTTTTAGATTTAAAAGTTATATTTAGATTTAAGATATATATTGAAATTTAGATTTAAGATTAAAATCTAAAGAATAAAATGTAAATCTAAGATTTGTATTAAAATATAGGATGATAAAATACATTTAACATTTAAATTTACTATTTGCCATTTAATGCTTAGAAAAAAACCTAAATGTGAAGAAATGTGCTAAATAACAGAAATGTGACAGTGAAAATTGTTTTGCCTAATTTTTCATTCAGCAAAACACTAATAGGTTGGCTTTACTGGCTCTTTCAATAACAATTCAAGCCAATCTTTTCAGCTTCTGTTCTTTCTAGAGTTCTACCGTACAATCTAACATTCCCATTTAACCCCTGCCCTTCATCAGCATAAATGTAGAACTTCTTCTTCAAAGCCTATAATTATTAGACTTTCATGATTCATCTACATCTATAATATTATTGTTTACGCCTGTAACTTCATTTAAACCAGTGCACTCACAATGTCAAGGTTTGTTGCCTTGATTCTGGCTTAGGCCTAAGCAAATTATACATGGAAATGATCTCTTAAAGGGATAGTTCGGTATTTTTGACATGAATCTGTATGGCATCCCCATCACCAGTGGCATGCAATCACACTGACTTACCCCTGGCAGCGTCCTGTGAGCAGAGTTATCGTCCAGTTTTGGTCAAGCCGAAAGTAGTCCGGCAGGTTTTTAGGAACAGCGAAATAAAACTTTTCTCTTCCCAAAACATTATGTGTTCAAAAGAGCGATATTTTTGCATCCCAAAAACATTGTAGTGGAAAAAGTCACACGTCGTTATCACTTGGTCCTATTTTCTCTCTGTTCGTATCAGTGCGCGCCGTCATTCAGACAGCGAGAACCTGACAACAGCCATGTCTCCCTCCGCCTAGCTGGGCGGAGGGAGACTCTTTTGAACACATAATGTTTTGGGAAGAGAAAAGTTTTATTTCGCTGTTCCTAAAAACCTGCCGGACTACTTTCGGCTTGACCAAAACTGGACGATAACTCTGCTCACAGGACGCTGCCAGGGGTAAGTCAGTGTGATTGCATGCCACTGGTGATGGGGATGCCATACAGATTCATGTCAAAAATACCGAACTATCCCTTTAAAGTGGATTTTTTGTTTTTGTTTTCCTTTCTTATTGCAGTACAAGCAAGTGGAGCAGTACATGTCCTTCCACAAGCTTCCAGCTGATCTGCGACAAAAGATCCATGAGTATTATGAGCATCGCTTCCAGGGGAAAATGTTTGATGAGGAGAACATTCTGGGAGAACTTAGTGAGCCGCTAAAAGAGGTGATGAATTCATTAACGGCCACTTTTTTTGTTCCTGCCTACAGCACATCCTGTTGACTTTCATTTTTTTTCTCCTTGTTATTTAGGACATAGTCAGCTTCAACTGCCGGAGCCTGGTGGCAAACATGCCGCTGTTTGCCAACGCTGATCCAAACTTTGTGACTGCAGTGTTGACCAAGCTCCGGTTTGAGGTGTTTCAGCCAGCTGACTTTATTATACGCGAAGGAACTGTTGGGCGTAAGATGTACTTCATCCAGCACGGACGAGTCAGCGTGCTCACCAGAGGCAACAAACAAACCAAACTCAGTGATGGGTCCTACTTTGGGGGTAAGGACCTGAATTTTTTTAGAAGATTATTTTTTTCTCACTGAGTGAAATGTTCTCTTTATTTTTCTCCTGAATTCACCTGAAGCTTGTTGTACTTTAATCTTCAGAGATCTGCTTGCTCACTCGTGGGCGAAGAACAGCAAGCGTCCGTGCAGACACATATTGCCGTTTGTACTCTCTCAGTGTGGACAGCTTTAACGAGGTTCTGGAAGAACATCCAATGATGCGGAGAGCCTTTGAAACTGTCGCTGTTGACCGTTTGGACCGTATAGGTAATTTCTGGGCTATTGTTAAATCTTCAGTTTGGTTTCTATTTCCTATTTACCCTCAGCTATTCCAAAAAAGCCTAGTCAATTTTCAACATTATCATCAGGAGGACTTTAAAAAGAAGATAACAATTTTTTTCTCTATAATGAAAATGACACTTTTAATCCTAGTAACAAATCACATAAAGAAAAAAGAAAACAGATGTTTTAGAATAACATTTTCAAGCAGGACTATCCTGCACTGTAAGATATTATAAAGAATTCACAACATTACACTCTAATGTTTCAAATTAAATTCCTTTTTTTTCATTTTATAAACTTTTATTCTAATATTGTATAATATAGTACTGTAATGTTGTATTCTCCTGTGAAATTGATGTTTACACAATAAATGACTGTGAACATTGCTTTTGGTAAATTTTACAATAATTTACTGTAGTTTTATCTAGTAAAATACTGTATTCACACCACCCTTTGTGAAAACACAACCCATTGCATCAAAATCAGAATTTTGCTTAAACCGCGGGGCATTGTGGGACCAAGACAGAGCAACATTGGACAAGACCATTACTTGACCTGCAGAAGAGGAGGACTTAAAGGAGGTAAGGTGGGCCTTATTTAAAGTATCAAGTAGCTTTTTCTAGTGTTAGGTTAGGTTGCACATGCACAAATAATTTTTTTTAATGTTCTTCATGTGTCAATAGGAGGAATGATCAAAAGTTATTTAACTGATAAAATGCAGGGTATTAGCTGCAAAATGAATGTCAAGTAACCCAAGTAGCAGCAGCTTATCCAACATGATTTTAAAACCCAGCTTTTCCACACAGACTGTTAAGTTGTATAACTGGATAGGTAACTGGATGCTACTTTTTGACATATGCTTTTGAAAATACAGCTTAAAAAACTGTATGTAAACACGTGACTCATGTAAATGCGCGACAGACCCACCTTAAAATATTTTTACTGCTGTCCTGCTGTTGTGCTAAATAAACTGTGAAATAAACTGTTAAAGGAAGAAATCAGAATCAGAAATACTTTAATAATCCCAGAGGGAAATTACTTTTGTTACAAGTAACAAAAGAGGATTCTGAAGTGGAAGATATGTCCAATGGTTTTTTTATGTATTTTTGAATTGTGCGCATGCGTCAGTGCCCCCTTCTTCGCAATAGTTCTCTACGCTGGAAAAGCCTTCGTCGGTAATTTCGTATTTCGCCTAGAGAGGCAGCAAAGTGCCAGGATGCACCTAGTCAGCAAGAAATCCCCATAAGAGATGTGCTGTTCATAATAAAAAAAAATACAGTACTTATACAGAATTAAACGTAATTTACCTGTCCAGCAGATTATTTGCGACCAAAGGATCCATTTTCAGACCCTTTTGCTACTACAGGATACGCCATCTCTGAAAAGAATCTCCTAAACACACTCTTAACCGGCCCCGATCTCTCCCACTTTCTCTCCCCTTTTCAACTACATCGGAAAAAAAGGCTTTTTTTTCCTGTTAGGTTTGTCAGGATTCTTTTTGGCTATTGATGCTCGAGTTTACACAAAACAGTGAAAAAAAAAGCTGCAGCAGCAAACAAGCTTAGGAGCACCATTCTGTGCTTTGTCGTAATGGCGGACCGCTAGCCAGACAGTGTATGAGTAACACTTGGAGCCTAAGTAAATAACGTACTGGGTGCACATACGCAAAATGTTTGATTGACAAACAAGTAGCCAATCCACTTTCAACAGGCCAGTGTTTTCAACAGTACAATAGATTTGCTAATGATTTGCTAATGTTTTGTAGGCCCCACCACGGCCACAGTTTATGAATTAAACTTTTTTGGGGCAGGGGACCATATGTGCAAAAATACCAGCCATCAATTAAGTAAATTTCGTTGAATCTAGACACTTAATTTCTGAGAAAAATCATCTTTCATACTTTTAATGTCTGTTTATATGTTATGTTGCCATTGTCATCAACTGGCATTTGTGCCAGTGCAGCGATTTAGAACTATGATCAGGCTTGACTGGAACTTAATTTCTTCTTTATCATACACGGAAAATGAGTTTCGGTCAGTAAGCCTGATTATTGTGCTAAATCAATGCTTTTGCTCAGGTTAACGTAATAACAGAAAATCCGAACCTACATTCTGAGCAAAAATTTTGATTATTATTATTTTTTTTATATTGATTGTTTGATTGATTGATTGATTGTTTGGCTTCCAGGCATATACAAAGGTTAGAAAGGTTAGAAATTAACCTAACAGGCTTTTCAATCTGTGTTTTATTTCTGTCATTATTGCAGCTCGTAGCTCAGCTCTCTTAATCCAACTTAAACAGTAGTACCTGTATTTGGTGTAATTTGCTAAACATTTATATCCAGGCACATAATATGATATTTCAGCAAGGTTTATTTATAACTTGACAATCTGGGCTGATCATCAGCTGAGTCACTTGTTAGATGCTAATTTAAACTTGCTCCACAAAGGATTTTCTTTTTTTTCTTTTTTAAGCCGAAGCTATTGCAGAAGCAATTTATGCTGCAAGACATTCTACTCATTTGTAGAATTCCACAACCTTTGCAACATGGTATCTGTTCATTTCAGGTAATGTGTTGGAGTCCAGGTCTTGGCTGCTATCCATGAAGGAGGAGTCATAATGAGGCAACTTGACTGTGCAATCAAAGGGATTGCTGCACTTTTGCAATCTATTAAAACTTCCATCAGCAGTATCCTGGCACTTTGGAATGTTTACAAAATGTTATCATACTTAACCAATACTAACCATTGGATGGGCTATATAAATAGACTGATTAATCCAGATGTGTCTGGCCAATGTCGTCATGGTACCTGAGGTCAAACACACCTATATTAATCATTTTGTCCAGTAATGAAAGTTAGGAAACAAAGGAGCTGCTGAAGTTCAGGAAGTAGTGGAGTTGTGCATAAAGCTCATTGTACTGCTTCCTTGACCCTCTTGTTTATTACCAGACTTGCTCTCTTATTTTCTTAACATTTGTTGTTTGACTTTTTTCCTGCTTTACAGATTTTTGGGAGTGCTACATTCAGTGTTACATTCTTCTTATTCCCCAGAAGGTTGAAGCTCCTCATCCAAGCTGTCCCATTAGTTTGGTGAGGAACAGATTAGTTTGTTTTTACCAAACTCGCATGTCTTGGAATATAACCTCCCTCAGGCAGAACTGCATTTTATGTAGCAGACAGTTTCAGTCCTATTTCATTTCCACATAGTTTTGCTCTAAGTTGCATGAGTTTAGAAAGAACAATTTGTCTGTAACCCATCTCAGCACAGCTCCCCCTGCAGACTCATAGTGGTTAGACAGTTGCTAGTGTTTGGTCAAATACAGGGTGTAAAAAATCCTCAGTCATCTTCATCAGATGCTGCAGAATCTGCCCGGGATAACTGGAGCTGATAGTCCAAAAGAGCTGCTACACAACCTGCTGAAGACGTTGAAGGATCTTCACCCTCTCTAACAATACTGTGGAATCAATAGTGTGTTCAGTGGGGGCTGATTCAGGTCAACTGAAAGACGGAAAGATATAGAAGATCATTCCTGCTGCCATCACCCTCAGTAGTAAGATTTCAGATAGTTGTTTTTTTTATTATTAAAAAAAACAAACTTTGATATTGAATTTTCCTCATGAGATGAATATAGAATATTTTTAATTTCACGATTGGAATTCTTCGTCAACGTGAAACATTACTATTGCTTTCAGTCAATAGCTTAAAAAATCCAACATTTGATTGTTTTGGATCAGAAATTTAATATAGTTGACGTTGTGCTATAATTGAGCATTCTGTTAACAGAACTGAATATCCTAACACTCAACTTTCTTCTTTTTGTCAGCATGGTGAAGAGAATACGACCAGTGAGCGGCTGATATGTGCTCCTTTTTGGTGAGTTAATTTGGTGTCAAACTTTTGTGTATAGCTGTCTTTCTTAACCTGGATATTTAATAGATGACATCAATATAAGATGCATGTTGTTTAGGTCACAGATTAGTTCAGTGTTTGCACACTTTCCTTCTTGTAATCAGTCTTGGCTGTCAGTTCAAATTGCTCTGATAATGATGCCAGAATCAGAAATGTCTATTATTCTCCTCAAAGTGCTTGTATCTGTGCTGGAGTTCAGGCATTGATCTGATACCTAATTTTTTAAAATAGAAATCTATTTACTAATAAGCTTATTAGATCTGACCCAGTTCTTCTTTCGTGATCCTAAAATGCACTGTTCTGCCTTCTGCTGTTGTAGAGGGATAAGGAAGAACTGGTCACCCAGGTCTAAAAGTTTAACCTGAGCCTGGCCTTACCACCATGATAATCATATTACAGTCATGCAGGACAAGTGTGATTGTTTTTTTACATGGTGGTATCTGTACTCTGGATTGACTATTTCCACAGCAAAATATCTGTCTTGGAAGGAAAAATTGTATCGGAACATCTCTAATTACAAATTTCTATCTTTGTTGTCCGATTCATTTACAGGGAAACTGGGTCTACAGCATGGACACTGTGTAACAATGATTAAAAGGATCCAGTCTTGGAGGGAGGGAGACGAGTTTAACAAAATATTTATTCAAGACGGAACTGCTGAAAACATTGTGGGTGTCTAAGCCCGGAAACTCCGCAAGGGGAAAGCACAGGTTATTGACCACGTCCATCTGAACGAGGATGATAAGGCATGTGTGAGTCACTAACCTGGTCTTAAAGTTCAGTTCTTGCCCAGAGGATGAGGTTGGTTCCAGCCGGTCGGCTGCCAACAAGATGCTGCACATGCCACCAGAGAGTCCCAGACACTGAAGTCCCGGGGTTTTGAGAACAGGCGGGAGATCAGAACCGAGCAGACGAAGGGAGGCAGGATAATCCAGAGGGCAGAGCCAAAGCCGGTGTCAAGAACGTGCTCAGGAATCAGAGCCCAGAGCCAGGACGGTGCACAGGAAGAAATTCAGCAGGAGTCCGAGGGTAGGATCACAACAGGGACAAGCAGGCTCAGAGATCCAGAGGCAGAGAACTCTTACCAAAGTCTCGAATAATCTGGCACTGATGACTGGTTGAAGGCTGGTTAAATAGTGGCTGAAGCAGGTGGATTAGATGAGTGGTAATGAGAACTGGATGGAGATAAACAGGTGAGTGAAATGAGGAATCAGACCAATCAGCGCCATCAGCGCCAAGATCATGATACTGGGTAAAAAAAAATAAAAAATTAATTAAATTAAACTGAAAGTTCTTGTCTTTTGTTTACAGGTACCTCTTGGGCATTGACTCTGTGGCAAGATTCAAATAAAGGAAAATGTCCATCAGCCCATTTGTGAGGACACTGGTCCATAGACTAGTAGACTTTAAATGGATGGTGTAAATGTGCAAATTTGATGATTGTGTTAATTTTCAGTTATGTGGGTATTGTACATTTTGTGTTCTACTTTTTATAATAAAAGATGAAGCAAGTATGGTCTTTCTTTTCTTTGTTCGTGGAACAAATTAAAAGCAGATTTTATTTAAAACCCTAGTGAAATCCAATGTACATTATACCCTATTGTTTGAATTTTTTTATTTACAGTCAGTTACTGTCTACTGATTTGCATGACTTTTACAGTAACAAAGTAAAAATATTTGATTTATATTCATAGCTACATACTGTGATTCCACAGTTATATCACAGTAATTCTATTGTCATTGTCACTGAAGTTACAACATGTAGCTGTAATTTTTGTGGAAATTTATGTAAAACACTAACAAGTTATCGTGATATAATTCCCTGTAGATTATTGTGAAAGTAATCCAGTTAGTAGCAAGTAATTTGCTGTAAATTCAATAACAAATTTAACAATGAGTATTTTACTGTATTATTATATTGTTAATTTAGAGTATGTTACTGGCTACAGAGTTTCATTACTTTTACAGTAAAAATACTGTCCTTTCTATGCAGCAACATACTTTGATTTCACAGCTACATTCAGTTACTGTATATCACAGTAATTCCACGGGCATTGTCTGTAACAAAATGTAGCTGTAGTTTTTGTGGAAATTACTGTGAAATACAACAAATTACTGTGATATATTTTTACAGATAAATATTGTGATATATTCCTTGTAGATTACTGTGAAATTATTGTGGAAGTAATGTAATTAGAAGTCAACAATTTACCGTAAATTCATATTGAAAAATTGAACAGGGTAGGGTGTGTGAAACTTTGCAGGCTTGTTCCTTATTAGATTAGATGTTTGGCCCTTAGCTTCACATCTTCTTAATCCTTTAGATAGGTTACCTGTGCTTCATGAGACAGTACATAAGTAAATCTGTTTTTTTTTTACTGTGGTACTCTGTATCTATCAATAACGCATTTAATTTTGATAGAATTTATTTTATCCAAATCACTCAAAGTGATATAGCACATACCCTGAGGTTATTTTAACCCCAGAAGATCAAAACCTCTTATAGTTTTAAACTGAGTAGAAGATAAACAAAAGTAAATTCAGAGGTGGGAAGAGATATCAAGAATTGCAATCTAGAGTAGTACTATATCAATATATCTTTATAGAAGTGAGACCAAAAAAGATGTTTGGGAAAATGGCAACCTAAGTTGTGAGTAACTTGTGATTAGATCTGATTAAATATTTAAATATAATAAAATCGAACATCATGTGCATTTTCTAGTACTTTATAGACTCGAATGGAAAAAAAAACACTATTACAAAATAGATGTATACAATTCAAAGACATTTTCAAAATAAATTTAACTTGGTTTGGAATGTGTATTTCTTAGAACAACGTACAAAGTATTTAGAATGATAATATCCATTTAACTCAAGTACGAGTACAAATATCTCATCTTAATGTGACTCAAATAAAAATAAATAAGTTTGTTATAGTTAAGCTTCTCCTGGAAGCTTAACTACTGCATAGCCTTCAATGAAATAAACAGCCTAAATCTTTTACTTATACTATGAAATGTGTTAAGCTAGTATCAACAAGTGTTGTCATGTTTACATTTAGTTCTCTTTCAATCAGCATACGCATACAGGCTTATGAGTCTCATTGTATACCAGTAGTATGCCCTTTAAGAATATGTGTTAAAATGCCCCACTTAATAAAGGCTTTTCACTAGCATCCTATTTTACAAGATTTAATTGGAAATTTTGGCTACAGGTAAAGAAGTTTGCCATGTGACTGTTCACACTTAAGGCTGATTTACACTCAGTGTGTTGCAGTTAACACAGATATGCCCCCACCCCTTCCGCAGACACTCTGGTGCACCTCTCTGAAATTGTAGGTAACCACAGACAGTGCCGCAGATAGGAGGCCTCTGATTGGTCAAATCTACATCCGCTTCACACTATGTGTATTTCCTGTTTGGTACCTTACTGGCTTGTTCTGTTTGTATGACCGCCATTGTGGAAAATGACTTGTTAAGATGGACCAGCTAGAAGAGCGAGGAGCGCAAGAACACTGGGACTCTTTTTCCACCTGGATCCCCGCTCTTTTTCACCCTCATGTCCCTCTGTTGTCACACAAACTTGCCCCTTGCATTTTTCCACTGCCTCACCACCTTGGCCGTATCTAGACCCACAGCTAGTTTGTGATTGTCCCTCTTGCGTTGTGGTGTGGAAATACATATCGCAGACCATGCTTCAAAATTGGGCATAAATCAAAAATATCTGTGTCAACTGTGACAAGCTCACTGCAACACACTACTGTGGGAGTATAACCCTTAAGCCTGACCAGCTAGACTGACTTATGCCATGTGTATACAATACAAGGCTTGTGAGAGTTGTCAGTCACAGAGGAGGAGGAGGGCTTTTCTTTAACCCTAAGAGTTAATATTGCAGCTATAATGGAGCAATATTTTAATGATACCTTATGTTTTTAGGTTATTATGTTCCCAAGAAGCTGGACATATCTTTAAAAGTTCAATAACTGGGCAGTGCAAGAGCTTTTTTTTTTTTAAAAAATGTGTCACATCCATAGTTGTCTGATTGGTTCAAAACTGTTTCTGTTGACTCTCTTATTACAGCCCAAAAGGAGTCAGTCTGTCTGGCTGAAGTAGTTGACCCTAACTACATACTATTCCATTACATACTATCATTCTTTATTCTAAAACTTGGATTAACCAAATGTAAAAAATAAACACTTTCAAAATCTGCAAAAATTGTTACTGAATATGTGAATATTTTTGCTTTTACTCCTCTATAGGTAGGAAGAACTCTGTCCTGCTGCGAAAGTCATCCCAGGGTGGTTCTATTGGTAGTAGTATGGGTCGTGGCGGGGGCCGGGGTGGAGGTGGTCCTGGCGCTGGCCTTGCAACAAGTGGTCTTGGTTCCTGTGACAGCATGCTGGTGCAGCAGATTGTGAAGCATGACAGCATGCCAGCCATGCAGGAAACCATTGCAGCCGCTGCAGCAGAAAGAAGTGGGATGATTGGAGGCAATGGCACAGTTTCTCCCCGCCCTGTCATCTGGGCGCCACTAGTCCATGCTCCATTGCAAACAGCAGCTGCTACCAGCAATGTAGCCATTGCTCTTATGCACCAGCAGCAGCAACTTCAGCAGCTTCAGCAGCATGCTCTTGGAGCGGGTTTCTTCCTGCCATCTCCAATGATTTCTCCGTCTCCCTCATCCACCTTCCCTCTTTCTCCTCCTCGTGCTCCTGTGCTGCAGCCCCTTCGCCCTTCTGTGTGCTCTCTGATTGGGATGATGACAATGGGAGGAATGAGTGGTTTGCCCGCAAGAGGTGGATTTCCACTCTCACCATCCTCAATGGGCCCTCCAGGTGGGTTAACATCTCCACCAGTTGCTAAAACACCACCCACTTCAGCTTCTTCTGTACCAACGTCTGTTCAGCAAGGAAGGACTGTTATCTACGGTCCCCGTTTTCAGGCTGATCACCCCTCGATGACAGCTGGGGCAAATATAACACCAACACCTGGAGGGTCAGGGTCACCACTACACAAGATACCAGCTACCAACCCGCCTGCCTCTTCCAGCTTCACATCAGATGAAATCAGGTGTCAACAGGGCGCCAAAGAGGCTCTTCTACGGCACGGGGCAAACAGCTGTCAGGGACTGCCTGCACTAGGGAGACTAACCCAGGAGGCCAGGCTGCTGTCAGCCTCTCAGCCCACTCTTCCTCACCGTTCCTGGGTCACTGTGCAGCCTCACCACCCTCCTCTTCACCGGAAGGCCTCTGGGGGGAATTTGTTGGCAGCACCTTTTCTGGCAGGACAGCTGGCAAGAGGTAGCAGTGCAGGAATGCTGACCAATAACCCTTCACTACAGCTGATTGCAAATATGCCATTAACTGCACAAGTACAGGCCACAATTCCTGTTCAGCCAGCTATGCCACAAGTAATCTCTGGAAACACTGGCTCTGCATCGACACCTGCAGCTGCGCACATCTCTCCTACACCTTTCTTCCCATCTTGTTCCCCTCCAAAGCAAACTAGCTTCTCCTCAGCCACCCCATCACCTACCCCTTCATCTCCTACTTCCATACTCACACAACCGCCTCGTCCGAAGCCAATCCCTTCCACGTTGTCTTGCTCCTCCTCCCCAACCTCAGCAGGAGCAGGTCTTTTGTCGACACCCCGACCCAAACCGGTTCCTTCACCCTCTACCCGCTCCTCCTCTCCTTCACCATCCTCCACACCTCCTCCATCTGCTGTATCTACACCAGCTCCTCTATCTCAGCCTTATGGGCCTAGATCATCACTCACATCCTCATCACCCCCATCCTCTGTGCTTTCCTCTTCTCCACCACATCCCCAGAGCCCCAGAAGCAAAGTATCCACCACTCCTCCTTCTGCCTCTCCACTATCTGGCCACAGCCCTACCCTGACCCCAGCTGCATCACCAATACCAACTCCCACCCAGACAACTCACACCCAGCCTTCTACTCCTACCCAGACACTTACTCCTACATCTTCCTCATCTTCTTCTGGACCCTCCTTAAGTAAATCCCAGAGCCCCACACCTAGCCTCCAGCCCTCTGTCTCACCCAGAGGTTCTGCCTCAGGCAACCCCCCAAAGCCTCTTAACCCCCTCCAACCTTCATCCCCCGCCTCAACATCTCTTTGCACAATTTCTTCAACAAAAGTCACTTTCTCAGTTCATCCTGTGAAGCAGACCTCTCCTGTCCTTTCTCACAGTTCCACTTCAGGCTCCACCCACACTACCCCTTCTACAACATTATCCTCCGTAACCTCATGTCCTGTTGAGAGCTCCTCAAACTCTTCCTCCATTTCTACCAATTCCTCTACCACCACAACTTCTCATCAACAAACTTCTACCACTGCAGCCAACCAGACGGCACAAACACGCACTTCTGCCAACTCCAACTCGTCAAAAGGTGGGAAGAAGGACACTCAGCTGGCAGCCGGCAAAACAGACCCTGAGGGACTAAGGCACAAACTGCCCGCGAACATGTAAGACAAGAAAAAACATTACACATGACTTTTTGTAGCCAGTGCTTAAAAGCAAAAGCATTGGATGTATCAAACTTGCCACCAGGTAGCCAATGATATAACATAAAACTCCTACATGTTGAATTAACTCTAGGGTGTGGTTGTCTTAGAATATAATGTCTTTATGTGACTCTTAGTCAAGCAATCAACTGAGGACAAGGAAATCATGGGAGTGTCAAGTTGGTCATTTTGCTATAAGAAGAGTCTACTGAAAACCCAAATGTTAACATGCGTATTTGTTTTAGTGATTGTTGGAGCAAGCAGGGGAACTGAATTGAATAAATGCTGCACTTTATTTACACAGAGCAGTTGGGAGTAGGCGTGGGCAGATAACCAGTATCAAGATACTCAGATTTTCTAAAGACCGTGTAAAGTAAAATAAATATGGTTTCTCAGTTTGTCACACTGCATAAATAAGATTTAGTAATCACCCAATTTGAATGAATTTATATTATTAGAACACAACCGAGCATATAGATTTAGGTCTTAACCGCAATAAGACGCTGAAGGGAGTGTAGACTACGGCAGCTGAATACCACGTTTTAAAGTAAAAAAAATACAAAAGATATTTTATTTTCATTCTGATTTTTAATTGGAGGGGATCAGTGGAAGCTTCACACATGGGAAAATTACTTACGTTCAGTGGGGAAACAGAGTAGAGTCACTTTGCTCTCGGACAGCAGACACGGGCTACAGCTGGTTCATCTGAGTCTGTGTGTTTTGGAGGAGGGAGGGGCTCACGCACTAACTGTTCGCTGAAGTAAACTCAGACTGATCAGTATTTTGGGTCTTGTCACCATAGTCTCCAACAACATAGGAAAAAGTCACCAGATTTGTCGCTAGCCATATTTTTGAAAGACAAGTTGTTTCATGCGTCTAAAAAGGCGCTATATACTATAGTGTTGATTTGGCCACAACACAAAGGAGTCTTCGCTGATTGCTTTTATATTGCTGGGCCAGCAGGGAGCATGTCCATGCTGAAGGCAGCTCATGACAAAATGAGGATACACTTTTAGCCACCCAAAAAATCCTAAAATACAACAATATTGATACCCAAAATTTACTTCTATTGCCACAGTGCAAATATAACAGGTTGGGAGACTTTTTACATTTGTAGAAAAATACATAAATTACATTTATAAGGGGTTTAGAAGAACACTGTGTTATTCTCTTTACACGGTCTTTAATCATGTGATATTTAAGGTTTAAAGTTCTTTTAATAAGAGACACAGCAACTGTGAGACTATAAAAAAAAAGTTAAGGCAGCATGGAACAACAAATTATGCTTCCCTTCCCCAAGCTGTTGCTTGAAGGCAAATCCATCTGTTTTTAAAATATTATTTTTATGACCGGGGAATTAAAGAGGTGCCACCTAATTCTCTAAAGTAACTTAAACTGTTGTTTTCTTGCAAGAGTCGGTATGCTACAAGCTAATGAACTAAAGGCCCTAACTGAACAGAGTGTCCAAATAATTAATCAGCTATCATCAACCTATTCATACCCCTGGAAGAATTAGGCTTAAATCTTATAATCATATAAACATACATATATTTGATAACCCAGACAGAATATCATGCATAGATATGGTATGCTGTCTGGGTTAATATCAAAGTTTTTAGCAAACGACTGGTCAGCAATTACAAGAAGTTTTTGAGGGCTGCTACGTCAATAACAGCTCTCCTAATAATTGCTTTGAAGTGTATAAATAGTTTCTGTTATTCAATATTCTGTTAAAATATTATTAAAAAAAAACAGAAATATTATCCTTTTGATTTTTCCCGGGAGATGCCTGTTGACTCTTAAAAAACTAACTTCGTTGAAAGAAAATAAACCTTAAATCTGCATATGATAGGGAATAATTTTAGGATTGATTGTAGAACATCTGTTAAATGTTTGATATTGATAATAATTAGGTTTCTATAATAACTACACAGACCAATGTAAATGTTTTATTGTATATTTTAGCTATGTTATAAATAGCTAGGTTACAATCGAATATAACATAATTTGAACAAAGGTAGAAATTTAAAAAAACACATTTTTATTTAAAAATTAAACTTGGACTTGGTCAACATTTTGAGTTAACCCACTGTGCCAGTAAAAACATTGCATTTTTACTTAACATTATATCATGGAAATCTCATACTGGCCCATGCTTAGTCAGGAGGGTTAAGTTCTATAAATATCCTAAAGCAATATTTGTCAACTGTTTTACTCGCTGCTAAAAGGAAATGGCCTTTTCAAGGATTTTAAATGTCAAAAAATAATGATCTCATTGATGTTGGGGTAAAAAGTCACTGTGATGTCGAAATGCAGGCAGTGGAGCAGACACCTCCTGGTTTTCCATCTCCAACTCCCTCTTTCTTCTAATTCATTACCAAAGTGTAAGATTTTCTCATGAAAATAATCACATTGAAAATCATTGTAAATTTGATACTCATATAAATTGGAATAATTAGAAGCAGTACATAAGTAGTTTTGTTGTCCCTGATGTGTGTGGTGTTTAGTTTTATAACAATACAAAAATCCTTAAATCTACATGTTCCCTCTGACAGCTTCTGTAAAACTATTCTATGTGTGCAATACACAATGCTGCTCAACTGTGCACCGTGGCTTACATGATTTTGTTCCACACAGCTTCCTGTAGTGTACATACGTGTGGGTCTGTTGTGTGCTTCCACACCCGTCGGCCTCTTTGTCTTTCATCTGCTGTCTGTCTAGCTGCCTTTCATCTGATTTTACAGCTCTGGTTGCTAACCGTTCCTCTGACGCTTGTAGACTCCCTCTCGGTTTTTTTTCCTCTCGGTTTGCCCAACACTTTGCTCGCTCATGTTCAGTTGGCGGCATCCTCCTTATGTCGCCATGTGACACTGTTTCAGCACCATTTCCAGTGATATTTGATGTTTTCTGTGGGTAGCAACAATACATCTCAATCTTTACCCTTGATACCATGTTGCCTAGACTATACATGTACATATATATATATATATTTAAGGACCAAATGTTTTATTTTTTATTTATCACAGCTTTAGCATTTAAAAAGGAAAAAGAGGCAAATGATGCGGTCAAAATGAATATGTTGAGTGTGGCATTTACATTAGGATGATGGCAATCTGTGTGATGATGATGATGATGATGATGATGATGATGATGATGATGATGATGATGATGATGATGATGATGATGATGATGGTGAGGAGGAGGAGGAGGAGAAGTTGATGATACTGATGTACATTTGGACCTACAAATAAAACTGATTTAGTATCAATTTGTGTTCAGCAACGACTTATTTTTATGCTTAGATAACCAAGTTTGCATTACTGAAATTTTCTGTTTTTCTTTTGTTTTTTATCACAAGAGAAGTTAAAACAGACAACATATAACACATTGAACACATATGACAGAGCTGGTGTGACTAAGTCTGGTTTTTAGGCTTCTATTTTTTATTTTTTTATTTATGTGGTTGGGGTTTGGAGCTCCGGAAAAACCCTATAAGCTTTAGAAGGGCAGGTATAGTTAATAGTGGTTGTATTTTTATGCTACAGCTGTCAAAAACGTATTAGACCACCCTTGTTTAATTGAATTATTTTGTCTAAAGGTATTATACCTGAAGAATACTGTAAAAAAAACAAAAAAAAAAAACACAAAAAAACAAGAGTTTGTCTAATTTTTTTTTTCCTCGACTGCATGTCCTTTTGTGTTGGAGCTGCAATGCAACTTCACAGTAAAGAGAAAGAACCATCAAAGAAAACTGCTTTCTTTTGATAAGCAGAGGTGACAAAGAAGTGTTAGCTATGAAGCTGTTCTAGAGGAGGACCGAAACAAACAAAAAACACAACTGAAACTAAACTTAAACTAGTTCTTCCTGTGAATAAAGCAGCAAACACTTGCACTCTGGCGCAGCTCTCCACTACAGCAATTTAGGACAAGAGAAGCTGAAAACTCATGGGCTGGCGACCTGTTAGGCTGGTGCCTTCTGGAGAGGCACCAGCCACCTATGACCCCTGATGGAGAAGTAGGTATAAAATGGACGGATGGGTGCGAGAAAATAAACGTCTCTTATGTTCCCCCCACTATCCTTGGTAATGAGAATTTACAGGCAACATTTTAGCATTTTATAGTTTCTCTTTTCTACATTACCAACCATTTTGACACACAAATACAGTGAATAAGTTTAATATTTTTCAGTATTGGTGTTGCTGAGATTTTAAATGTACTTGTCAGCATGGTAAGGGTTAGTCTAATAGTAACTAACACGTTGCTTAAAAAGTCATCTGATATTCCTACTCATGAAATGAGGCATAAGCTATCAAATGTAGTTTAAAAACACTTATGAAACATAAATTTTTAGAGTAAAACACAATTAAGAGTTTTTCTTTGAAAAATATATATGATGAAGAAAAGTACTTGTGATTCATACAACTGTAAGGATGTCTTTAACACAAACTACAAAGGCCCCTAGCACACTCCTCCACACCTCAAGGATATCTAAATCAAAACCAAACAGGCTTCTTAGATTTTCCACACTGAAGATTCTGTTCAACTAGAACTTGTTCCTTGTGATTCTTTGAATCGTACAACAGCCACTGGGCGTCACTTAAAAGATATGTAAACAACAAAAAAACTACAAAAACCTGAGGTAATACACACACAAAAATAAATCTGGCCTAAATTATAACAGGAAAGATCAAATGTAAAACTTGTTGCATATAGACATAAAAGATGGAAATGTTATTTTTTAGTTAAAGTTAAATTGAGACCTACAAACCTATTCAAGTGCTGGGTAGATGCACAGAAGAAATTAATGCAAGGAGTTGAATAAAATATATTCAAAACTAAAACTTTTTCATCTAAAATAATATTGTTCAAAGATTAGCACAGAGCTCCAGCTAATACAGCTAAAAAGTACCAATCAGGCTCTAAATCTGGGTGTAGTTATGGACTGAGACACCCTGAACCTTCACAGACACAGCCAGTAAAATGATAGGACTTCTATCATCTAAAGAGAATCTGCAGGAAAAAAGGACTGTCTCAGCAAGAACTCAAACGTCTATTTTATGTAATTGTCGGCTCTCAGAATAGAGGACCCAGAATTCAAGGCATACTGACAGGTGGATTCCTCAAAAATGTTTTCTGCAGAGGGAAAACTCAGGTTAGTGACCGTGTAAATCTGATGGAGGCTAATTACGAACTCTTGAGTCATCAACCTGGTCTTAACATTCAGTCCATGCCCAGAGGAAGGAGTGGATTCCAGCCGAATGGCTGCCAACACCATAAGATAAACACTGCCCAGAGAGTTCCAGACGCTGAAGCCTTGAAGACTGGAGAACTGGATGAAGATCAGATCCAAGCAGACGAAGGAGGGCAGGATTATCCAGAAGGCAAAGCCAAAGCAGGTGTTGATGAGGTTCATAGGAGTCCAAGCCAGAATTTTAGATATCCGAAGAGGTACCGAAGAGAAATCAGGTCAAAGTTAGGAAGCAGGTCTAGGTTCAGTCCACAGGCAGAATCCAGCAAGAGTCTGAAGAAAGGTCAGGTAATCAGAACAGGAACAGGCAGGCTCAGAGGTCCAAAGGAAGAAAGGGTCAGGATCGCGGAACTAGATCACAATCAGGTACGCTAGAGAACTTTCAGCAAAGGCTCGAATAATCTGGCACTGATGACAGGGAGCAAGCAGGTTAAATGGAGACTGGAGCAGGTGACACAGATGAACGATGATGAGAAAATGAGCAGAGCGAGGTGAAAGGAATTAACCATTAAGCCAGAAATCAGTACCAAGATCATAACAGCAATCATCCTTAGTGTAATTAATTAGTGCAACAGTGTATTCACAGGTCTGCCTAGAAAGTGGATCAGACAGCGGCAGCTGATCTAGAATGTTGCTGCCCACATCCTCACTAACACTAAGAAAGTAGAGACCATCATCTCAGTAATAACGTCTTTACACTGGCAACCCATCTGTCAGAGAATTAATCTTTAAAATACTTGTTTTAGCTTATTAATCAGTGAACTGCTTACATTACAGACT